ATAGATTGTGGAACAAACTGTCAACGAATCAGAAGCAAGTTCAAACTAAAGCTAAAGATGAAATCAAATCCACAGGAACCAAAATTTGACCTTCAGTCTAACCCATCTGAATTTAAAAATCATCTCAGGAAAACATTTGAGGCCTTGAACAATAATGAACAAAGACCAGATGAGCTGTGGAAAGATATCACAAATATCATCTACAAAGAATGCAAAAGGTCATTACAAAGACAAAGGAGGAAGAAAAGACTAAGACGGATGTCAGAAGAGACTGAATATTGCACTAGAGTGCTGAGAAGCTAAAGCAAAGGAAAGAAGAAGTTCAGGAGCTGAATACATGATTTCAAAGGACAGTGTGGGAAGACAAAGTGAAGTATTAGAATGAAATGTGCAAAGAGCTGAAGTTGGAAAAGCAAAAGGGCTGAACTCATTTGGCATTTTTTAAGCTAAAGGAACTGAAGAAAAAATTCAAGCTTCAAGTTGCAATACTTAAGGATGCTATGGGAAGAATATTGAATGAAAAGAAGATAGAACGAGTACACAAAGTCACTGATCAACACAGAAGAATTTCATGAAACAACATATGATCAAGAGCCAATGGTGATGAAGGAGGAAGCTCAAGTTATTCAGAACAAATTAGCACAAAGCAAGTCTTCAGGAATTTATGGAATACCAATTGGCATATTTCAATAAACGGATGCTGCCCTGAATGTGCTCACCCAATTGCGCCAAGAAATTTGGAGGACAACTACTTAGACAACTGACTGGAAGAGATTCATATTTATTCCCATTCCAAAAAGAAAGGAATGCAGATATTATAGAATAGTATCACATGCAAGCAAGATCCTGCTAAAGGTGATCCAAAACTGACTGGAACAGTAAATTGAAGGAGAATAGCCAGAAGTGCAAGTTGGTTTAGAAGAGACTGTAGCTCTAGGGACATTATAGCCTGTTGCTGTCAGTTCACGGTAACGACAGTGACACCCTAACGGAGGTAATCTCGGTGGAGATACACCACTCCCACTCCTAGAGAGGATCAGAGAGTCAATCCAGCTCAATTTTATTGGGCTCTGCAGTGCATTTATATACCAGCATGTAAATAGGAAGACAGGATAGGGTGGGCTTACAGACGTGGGACATGCGGATTGGTCAGAAGAACCTCTTGCGGACCAATCCCAGCTCAACAGATGCAGCAGCCGTTTTCCCAGGTGGCAAGCTTTCTCAAGCCGGTACAGCCAAACACAGGAGAGCTTTCTCTACCCAGTATTAAAGGTCGTTGGGAGGCTTGCACTTATCTGTAGCTTAGGCAATCTGTCCTGGTCAGAGGCCCTTCCTTCCTCCCTAAAATCCTGTAACAATAGCTAATGTTAGATGGATTTGGGCTGAAAGCAGGGAGTACCAGAGAATGTGTGTTTCATTGACTATGCAAAGACATTTGACTATGTGGATCACAACAAATTGTGGCTAATCTTGAGAAGAATAGAAATCCCAGAAGACTTGATTGTGCTCATGTGAAACCAGACCTGAAAGCAGTTATCCAAACAGAGCAAGGAAACATAGCCTGGTTCAAAAATCAGGAAATGATCTTGTCAGGGATGTGTCCTGTCTGCAGACTTTTTCAATCTATAAACAGGGCCGATCATTTGGGAGGTTGGACATTATGAGCAGGAATTGGAGAAAGACTCATCGACAACCTGTGTCATGCAAATGTCACTACTCTGCTTGTAGAAACTGAAGAGGACTTTAAGCATTTGCTGCAAAAAGTCAAGACTGTAGTTTTGCTATGCATTGAAGCTCAAAAACAAGAAGACAAAAATTCTCACCACTGGTCCAATTCTCACCACACTAGATGAAGAGATTGAGATTGTTAACAACTTTGGCTTTCTTGGTTCCCCAGACAACACTCTTGGCACCAGCAGTCAGGAAATCAAAAGACAAATTGCATTGGGAAAATCTGCTGTCAGGGATGTCTCCAAAGTGCTAAAGAATAATGATGTCAGTCTAGAAACTAAGGTGTGCCTGACACAGGCCATGGTCTTCTCAATTACTTGCTATGCATCAGAGAGCTGGACAGTGACTAAGGACAACAGAAGAAGAATCAACACCTTTCGCTTGTGGTGCTGGAGAAGAGTATTGAACATAATACCACAGGTCTGTCTTAGGGTAAAACTAAGTTTCTCCTTGGAGGCAAGGATTTTCAAGCTCCATCTCACATAATTTGGGCATGTGACAGGAAGGCTCCAGTCCTTGGATAAAGATATTATGCTTGGAAGGGTAGAGGTACAGCACAGGAGAGAAAGACCCAGGATGAGATAGATTGACACAGTAATTGGGGTAATAGGGATAGATTTGTTGGAAACAATGGCTCAAGATAGGCAGGGTTGATAGCTATTTCACATAGGCTCCCTATGAGTCACAGGCAACTTGATGGCACATGACAACAATAGTGAGACTTTGAGAGGGATAATACAATGAATAAACAGAACTCCAGCTCTTCCTTACCCCAAAAACTCAGGAATGTGCAACAAAGCCTACACCTAAAAGACAGAGTCTCCATGGTAGATACTAAGAACTCAGATCATATATATTCATATCCTTCTAAGAATATCAAGAGAGCATCTGAAAAGACAATGGTTTCCATATATCCATTTAGGGAAATTCTCTTAGCAGTGTTTTTTCTCTCTGAGTTTGTAAAAGGGGGGAAAATGTATTCTTCTTACCACTCCCTCCCCATTCAGTTTGGAATTCTGCAGATGTCTTCCATTCTATGTAGTTGCTACGTATTATAAGTTTTACAACATAACTACATTATGGAAACGTGTATTCTTTGTTTGGGCCTGCTGACATCTTCCAGTCAATCATTGTCACTCTGTGACAGTAATGCCTCTTTTTACAACAATTCTAAAAGCAGCATGACTATTTGTTCTTTAAATGAGAGACTTTAAGTAACTTGGCCAAGGTCTTTCAGCTGGTAAATGGCAAAACTTAGATTAAACTTCAAATTTGTCTTCAGAGTTCATGCTTATAACTTCTGCCTCAAGAGGAGAAACCTCAGCTGAATGTGTACCTTGAAAATACTAAATCTGACTCTTTAGAGAATTAATTTTAAAAAGTATAATAATAGAAAGAGCAGATGGAACTAGAAGACAAAGGTACAGCTAAATTGAATCAAATCTTGGCCCATGAGCAGCTTATGAAATTACATGAAAAAATAGAATTTCATAAAGAATTGTGTCCAGTTAGCCTGGTTATCAATCAAATCTAATGACACCTGGTTTCATGACATCTCATGATTAAGGGCTTTATGCTTCAGATTCTCGTTTCTTCATAGCTATACTTCTATCTCCTTAACTGATTGAGAATTTAGTAACTATGGCTAAAAAACAATAGTAGCAGTTTTTAGACAGTATAAGATCTCTATGATTTAGAATAAATTGTGGTTCTTTTAGTGTTTCTATATACGGTTCTTGCTATCCCACATAATCTTCCTTGTATATTAGAGACATTACTTTACCTCAGTAACAGACTGTGTTATTGATTCTGTGTGTGTGTGTGTGTGTGTGTGTGTGTATGAGAGAGAGATCAAGCACACATAAGTCTTTGGGCTGTATACATGTGGAGGAAAAGAGCTTTCCCTCTTTTGTTAGGTGGGTTTCAGTGTGGATCTTTGAGGCTATTCCTTAAATTCAGTTACTGCCGCCCTTTTTGTTCTTCACAAAGAAAAGGAGTTGCTAGCAGACACTCTTGTAATAATGAGTTAAATCTGACTCCCACCCCAACTACATATACTTGAACCAAAGACAGCCATTTGATTTTAAAAAGGCCAATGCTGAGTGGAATATCTCAGTCACAAAAGGCCAAATATTGCATGGGGCCACTGTTGTAAAACGGGACTGACATCAGGGTTGAGGGAAGGTAGAGAAGGAGGGAGAATGATGTATACTGCTTTGAAACAGATGAGGGAGAGATCTGTTTAAAAGGGATATATGATGGGGTATTGTTGTCATTACGGGAGTTCAGAATGAAGGGTGCACAGTGGAGTGGACTTGGGGAGAGGGATTGCATCACAATGAAAGAGATTTTCTTTTACTTTTCAAGGAGAAGAGTGAATGGGGATGGGGAGGGCAGGGAGAAAAATGCAACAATGAATGACTGGAAACCCTAAAAAAAGGGGGGGGCAATTATAATCTTTCTCATGGTAGTTTGCATTTTTACTTCTAATTCCTTGTCCTTTTTGGGATCTTTAAACTTTGCATTGTGACTTTGCTGTTCTTACCACAAGAGATAAAGTATCTTGCCTTTCTTTATTAATGTTAGACTCCAATGTGGGACCTGCCAATGGAATATCAGACGATGTGATTTTCCCAAGACTTTAAATGTGCATGTGAAGGTAGGCTTGTCCTCTTGTGTCCCTGGTTTTGTCGGTGAGAAAAATCATATCTCAGAGGAACAGATAGTTGGGACACATTTTGAAGTCCAAAGTCCATTGTCCTCAAAACTATTGGCCATAGACATCTAAAAAAAATTTAAACACTTATGGTAGGATATTCCTGAAGTTTGAGGTGGCTTATAATGCAGAATTATTTTAAGAAATGACTGATAGATCTTTCCTTGAAACTAGATGGTTAGAGTGAGAGACAGAGACCATCTATTAGAGGCTGGGACATTTAAATTGCAGAGCTTTTTCCAGGCTATAGAGGCTGCTAAACTCTTGGTGCTTAGATACTCAAACTGTTTCCTTGTTCTCACAAAAGAGAATTTTCACTGGATTTCATAAAATAATAGTAAAATCCTTTCAATACATTCTTTCTGTTACACTAAGCTTTCTTGCTTAATTCAGAGTTAATTGTTATTTGTTACTGAAAGCAACAAAACTAATATAAAATGTATCCTTTTTCATCATGATAGCCCCCTGTAGATAGTAATGAAATTCAGTGATTCTCTTGATGACATTTCAGAATCTGGATTTACATAAGACTTCCACTTAGACTAGCACTTACATTTGGGACCAGGCAGCATAGGTTCTTGCATTGAGAGCATATTCCAATTCAAAACGACTCCTTAAAGCTGCTACATGGCTCCGACCAGGGACTCCCCGGCTCTCCAGGCAATCAGAAGAAGAAGAGGGTGAGATGGACCCACTGCTGTTACTGGATGCAGGAGACATTAGCTGTGTGAAGGAGGGACAGCTTCAGTCTTTTATTAAATCCAACAGGCCTACAGTCAGAGAATAGAATATGGATTTTCTTTAAACTTTCTATTCTAAGATTTTTCTGAAGTATTTTAATTTCCATTCATCTCGGTTTGCTTCTGGCTTTTCCTTTCAGCCACATCAGGCAACACCTGGCTAGCTTAATTTACTTTTTGACCCAGTTCTAAGCTGAAAGATGTCCTATTAAATTGGTACTCTTTATATATATATATATATATATATATATATATATATATATATATATATATATATATATAAAATACAGTAGACCCAAATCACATTCATAAAAGAGGCATTTAGGAGATTATTACTCAATGATCAAAAGTTTCTCTACATTCTTCACTATGGCAATAAGATCCAAGGCTGAGTGCCTATAAACTGTAGTGTAAAATTATTCCCTTTACATAAAATGTACAAATACACTTTTACAACAATATGGACAGCCTTTTTAAAAAATAAAGTATATCTTCATATCTGGTAAATGTGAGGGATTAATAACTGGTGTGAGAGAATGAAAATAGTTTAAAATCACTGGAAAAGAAAACACCACAAATGAAAAAAATACAAGAGAGAAGTGAAAAAACAAAATAGGGGTTTTTCTTTGTAATTTCTGACAGCGTTGTTTATACATTCTAAATGAATGCATTAATCCAACTGAATGTAGTAATGACTATCTATCTCTGTCTCTCTGTCTCTGTCTCTGTATCTCTCTCTCTATATATATATGTGTGTGTGTATATATATATATATATAAAACTATATATCTCTCTCTACATATCTATATATATATAGAGAGAGTTATTGTTGTTGTTAGGTGACATTGAGTACAATTCATAGTGACCCTATGAACAAAAGATCTGAACCTTGCTGTATCTTGCACCATCCTCTCATATCCTGACACACAAGGGCCCATTGCACCTTGTTAATCCATTTGGTTGAAGGTTTTCCTCTCCTTCACCAACCCTCCACCCTTTGCAACATCATGTCCTTCTCCAAGGAACAGCACCTCCTAGCAATATGTCCAAAGTATGTGAAGCAGAGCCTCGTCATTCTTGCCTCCAAAGAGCAGTCTGGCTGCATGCTTTCTAAGATATATCTGTTCGTTTTATTGGCTATCCATGGAATGTTCAGTGCTCTTCTCCAACACCACAGCTCAAAGGCGTAAATCCTCCTTTTGTCATTATTATTCATTATCCAGGTCTTGGATGCATAGTTAGTAATCGGAAAGACCATGGCCTGAATCAGATGCACCTTAGTCCTCAAAATGACCTCACTACTCCTCAATAATTTGGAAAGGTCCGTAACTGTAGATTTTCCCAATGTAATGTGTCCCCTTATTTCATGACTGCCCATATGAAAGGTGTTAATTATGGATACATGCAAGATGAAGCTCTTCACAGTTTCAATCCCCTCTCCATCCATCATGACATGACCCATTAGTCCCATGGTAAGAATTTTTGTTTTCTTGATATTGAGACGCAGTCCATATTGAAGGCTGCATTCTTTGATTTTCTGCAACAAGTCCTTCAAATCCTCCTAGCAAGCAAGGTTGTATCACCTGCATAATGCATGTTATATGAGTCTCCCTCCAATCCTGATGCCATACTGCTCTTCATAGAGTTTAGTTTCTCAGATAATTTGCTTAACTTATAGATTGAATAGGTATGGAGACAGACTACATCCTTGACACACTCCCTTCCCAAATCCAAACCATGCAGTGCTCTCCTCCTCATTCCGCAAAACAGCCTCCTGGTCCAAGTATAGGTTCCCATGAGACAATCATGTGCTCTGGGATTCCCATTCTTCTCAATGTCAGCCTCAACTTGTCATTTTCCACACAGTCAAATTCCTTTGCATAGTCAATAAAACAAAATAGACATTTTTCTGGTATTTGTCACTTTCAGACAGTATCCATTTGACATCAGTAATGATTATCCCTGGTACCATGGTCTCTTCTGAATCCTGCTTGAACTTCTGGCAATTCCCTGCATATGTACTGTTTCAGCCATTTTTTTCTTTTTTCAATCATCTTTGGCCGAATTTTGCTAGCATGTGATATCACTAATATTGTTCATTAATTTCTATATTCAGTTGGATCAGCCTTCTTGGGAATAGGAACAAATATAGACCTCTTTCAATCTGTTGGCCAGACAACCACCCTCCAAATTTCCTGGCATAGACCAGTGAGTGCGTCCAAGGCTGCATCTGTTAATTGAAATAAGTTAATTGGTATCCCATCGATTTCTGGGGCCTTATTTTTTGCCAATGCCGTCAGTACAACTTCCACTTTCTCTTTCATTACCATTGGCATCTGTTTATATGGAACTTCCTGAAATTTTTTAGTGTTAATCAGTTCTTTCTGGTATAGTGACTCTGTGTATTTCCTCCATCTTCTTTTGATGCTCTCTGAGTCATTCATTATATTTCCCATAGCATCTTTCAACATTGCGACACAAGGCCTAAATTTGTTTTAGAGTTTTTTCAGCTTGAGAAATGCAGAGCAAGTTCTCCTCTTTTTATTCTCCAATTCCAACCCTCTGCACATTGCTTTATAATACTTTGTTTCGTTCTCCCGAGCTACCTTTTGAAATCATCTGCTCAGCTCTTTTACTTTGACATGTTGACTTTTATTGGTGTTCTGGCATTCCAGTGCAACCTTTAGAGTCTCTTCTGACAACCGTTTCTGTTTTTTCTTTCTCCTCTGTTTTGTAATAACCTTTTGTTTTCTTCATGGATGATATCCTCGATATCAACCCACAACTGATCTGGTCTATCATTGGTGTTCAATGCCTTACTTGTGACTCACAGTGGCCCTATGCACAACTATGTATGATCTATCCCTTGCCAATCTCAATGTCTACAACATGCCTATCCCCATTATCCCAGTGAAGGAATCAATCCATCTCATCGAGAATCTTCCTCTCCTGCACCGTCCCTCCACCCTCCCAAGCATGATGGCCCTCTCCAAGGACTGGTCCCTCTTTGCAACATGTCCAAACTATGTCAGACGAAGCTTCAGAATCCTTGCCTCCAAGGAGCAACCTGACTTCACCCTCTCCAGGACGAACTTGTTTGTTCTCCTAGCCGTCCACGGTATATTCAATACACTTCTCCAGCACTAAAGCTCAAAGGCATCAACTCTCCTTTTATCATCTCTAGTCATTGTCCAGCTCTTTCAAGCATAGCATGTAATGGCAAAGACCGTGGCACACCTTAGTCTCCAGACTGTCATCAGTGCTCCTCAGTACCTTGGAGAGGTCTCTGACAACAGACTTTCCCAGTGCAATTCATCTTTTAATTTCCTGGCTGCTGGTACCAAGAATGTTGATTGTAGAGCCAAGCAAAATAAAGCTGTCAACAATCTCAATTTATTCACCATCTATCATGATACAACCAATCAGCCCAGTGGTGAGAATCCATATTGAAAGCTGCAATCCTTGACCTTCTGTAGCAAGCACTTCAGGTCCTCCTCAGTATCAGCAGGGTTGTGTCATCTGCGTAATGCAGATTGTTGATAAGTCTACCTCCAATACTGATGCCACACTTCTCCTCATAGAGCCCAGCTTCCCAGATATTCTGGTCTGCATATAGATTAAAAAGATATGGAAATAGGACACATCTTTGACACACACCTTTCCCAGTTTTGAACCATGCAGTGGTTCTTTGCTCTGTTCTGACAATTCTCTACTGGTCCAACTATAAGTTTTGCATAAGCATAATAAAGTGTCTGAGATTCCTATTTCTCTCAAAGTCAGCCACAGTTTGTTGTGATCCCCACAGTCAAATGCCTTTGCATAGTCAATGAAATACAGATAGACATTCCTCTCGTACTCTCTGCTTTCAGGCAAAATCCATATGGCATTAGCTATAATATCCCTAGTGCCATGACCTCTTCTAAATCTAGCCTGCACTTCAGGCAGTTCTCTGTTTATGTGCTGTTCTAGTAGTTTTTGGATGATCTTCAGCAGAATCTTGCTTGCATGATATCAGTGATATTGCTCGCTAGTTTCCACACTCTGTTGGAACACCTTTCTTTGGAATGGGAACAAATATAGATCTCTTCCAATCAGTAGGTCAGGTGGTTGTCCTCCAGATTTCTTCGCACAATTTGGTGAGCACATCCAGGGCAACATATATTTGTTAAAATATGTCAATCAGTATGCCATCAATTTCTGGGGCCTTGTTTTTTGCCAATTATTTCAGAGCATATTGAACTTCCTCCTTTATCACCACAGGCTCTTGCTCATAAGTTGTTTCATAAAATTCTTCTGTGTGCACCAATTCCTTTTGGTACAATAAATCTATATACGCTTTCCATCTTCTTTAATGTTTCCTTCATCATTTAATAACTGTATAAAGCATCCTTAAGTATTGCAACTCAGAGTTTATTTTGTTCTTCAGTTCCTTGAGCTTAAGAAATGCTGAGCGAGTTTGCCCCTTTTGATTTTCTTATACCAGCTTCTTGTACATTTCATTGTTATACTTTCCTTTGTCTTCCCTTGCTGTCTTCTGATGTCTTCTGTTCAACTCCTAAATATCTTGATTTCTTCCCTTTGCTTTGGCTTCTCGGTGCCCCAGTGCAATATTTAGAGTTTCTTCTGACATCCTCCTTGGTCTTTTCTTCCTTCTCTGCCTTTGTAATGACCTTTTGTATTCTTCCTGGGAGATATTCTTGATATCCTCTCACAGCTTGTCTGGTCTTTGCTCATTAATGCCCAAGGCCTTAAACCTGTTCCTGAGAAAGTTTCGAAATTCAGGTGGGATAGACTCAAGGTCAAATTTTGGTTCCTGTAGACTTCTTTAATTTTCTTCAGCCTCAGCTTGAACTTGCATACGAATAGTTAGTGGTCTGTTCCACAGTCAGCACCTGGTCTAGTTTTCACAGCTGATACTGAGTTTCTCCAGCGATTCTTTCCACAGATGTAATTGATCTGATTCCTATGCATAGCATCAGGTGA